GGAGCCTAGGGTTTAATGTTTAAGGTTTTGGGGAATGGTTTGAGGTTTGGGGGTTTAGGGTCTAATGGTTTGGGGTGCAGGCGCTTAGGGTCTAATGGTTTGGGGTTTAGGGTCAAATGGTTTGGGGTTTAGGGGCTTGGGGTGGTTTGGGGTTTAGGTGGTTAGGGTCTAATTGTTTGGGGTTTTGGGGGTTTTAGGCTCTAATGGTTTGGGGTTTAGGGGTTTAGGGGTTTGGGTTTAGGGTTTAGGGTTTAGGGGTTTAGAAGTTCCGGGGTGCGGAACTCCGCCATGTGGGGGTTGATAAAAATTATGAGCCCTGTCGGGGGTTTCTAATTGCTTTAGTATGCTCCTTATAGTTTAGGTGGGTTTAGGGTTTAGGTTTAGGGTTTAGGGTACTGAGCCTCTTGGGGGTCTCTACTTTAGTAGATTCCTGCTGGTTTAGGTTACTGAGCCCTTTGGGCCTTTGGGCCTTTGGGGGTCTCTACTTAGTATATTAGTGGGTACCCCAGAGGGCCCCTATTCTTTTCAAACCTCATGTAATCCTGTGGCCGGATCGCCCTGGATGCGCCGCCGCAGGTGGCCTGACATGCACGACATGCTGTGCACAAAACACAGCGCAGAAATACAATTTGTCTTTGTGGTTCTTTACAGTAAGCTTTGAGCCTTTTGGGCAAGCAGAAGTGCCCTGCGGATCCTGGCAGTCAGCCTTTTTCCGTGTATGTGGGGTCGATCAAAATTGTTGGCCCTTTTTGGGGTCCTTATGGTATATTCCCTATTTTCAGGTCCCGCACCCCCCCCCCCCAAAAAAAAAAAAAAAAACAAAAAAATCCAACAAAAAGAAGCAAGAAAAGGCGGCACAAGATTCAGATCCATCGCTCCCAGTACCTAAGGGTACCATGTGGACTGCAGACATACCATGTAGACATGCTGCAGCACGGCTGCTGTTTCCACATGACAGCTTCTTCTATTACGGTTCTGAACCAAACACTTGGGTGTCGCTACCTAATCCCTAAACGCCCTAAACCCTAAACCCTCTGTTTTTTTGGCCTGACCCTGGCTTGGCTGGCTTCACAGGATCCGGCTTGGCCTTGTGTCGAGTGTTCGGGCGGCCTTCGGGTTTAGGGTTTGGGGTTTAGGGTCGCCGGGCACGCCCTAAACCAAACCCAAATTCCCAAATCATAAGCTTTGACTCCCAAACCCTCCTCCCCAACTTTGACTCCCAAACCCATCCTCGAAACGCTTGCACCCTTGCACCCTAAACCCTAAGCCCCAAACCCAAGACCCTCACACCCCTAAACTGTAAGCCCCCTACACCTAAATCTGATCCCCTAGACCTCGACCCTGAACCCTGCTTACCCTTAAAGGTAAGCCCCTAAACTTCGAAACCCCTCAACCCCCTCAACCCCCTCAACCCACATACCCCTCAACACAAAAACACCACAACCCTAAACCCGAACCCCTGACACCCCCTTCCCCCTCCTCCAAAAAATTAAGTACCCCGGCCTGCCCGCAAACCCTAAACCCTGGGACCCTAAACCCCAAGCCCCTAAACCCTAACCCCAAACCCTAAGCCCCTCAAAACCACCATAAACCCTAAGCTAAACCCCAAGCCCCTAGACCCTAACCCCAAACCCTAAGCCCCTCAACCCTAAAACCACCATAAACCCTCAGCCCCTAAACCCCAAGCCCCCTATCCCTCCAAACCGCTGAGGCGTGGGATTCACCCTCCTCGTGTTCTATGCCGCTCGGCAGGTTGCGGCGCACTTGGTTCGGACCGACTTCACCGATTCAGGCGTGGCGGGGAGGGTCTAGGGTCTAGGGTTTAGGGGTTTAGGGTCTATGGTTTAGGGGTTGAGGGTTTAGAGTTTAGGTGGGTTTGGGGAGGGTTTTCGTGGGTCTCGGTGTTCAGTGTTTAGGGTTTAGGTGGGTTTTGGGTTTAGTAATTAAGGTGTTTTTGGAGTCTCTGGGTTCAGGGTGTAAGGGTCAAAGGGTTTAGGGGCTTGGGTGCTCCCTGAATTGAAACAGCCCCCCCACGCCCCCGCACTCTGCCTTCGTCCAGACCTTTACCGGGTCGCTTTCTGATCGTGCTCATACAATGAACCCCAGCCGTACAAAAAACAACAACTAAACCGTACACCCTGACTAGTCTGTTGTCCCCTTAGGATTACTTTAAATTCTAAATTTCTATTCATATCAAACCCAGGGGAACATTAACACCATTACTGTGTTAATCTCTAGGGAATATTCAACACATTTATATTCTTCATTCTTATATGAAGGCTGAAAGGGGAGTATAGCAGTTCCGGGAGCTACACAGGCTTCCGCGCACAGAGCTTCAAGATGTTGATCCGGGTTTCCTCGCTTTTCTGCCCGAAACCCTCAACCCTAAACCCTAAACCCTAAACCCCGGGAAGGCCCGGGAGCGAGCCCGAATTCCAAAATCCTAAATCCTCGATCCCAGATCCTCAACCCGGAATCCCAAACTCTAAGCAGGGTTGATCAAAAAAGTGGCGTTGTAAGGTTTAAGGTTTAGGGTTGAGGGTTGAGGGTTTAAGGAACCCTAAACTATAAGGAGTATACTAAAATAGAGACCCCCCCAAAAAAAAAACAGATGTTTTTTGACCAACCCCCCATTCCTGAATCCTAACACCGAAATTCCACGGCGGGCTTGGAAGAGTTTCCCGGCCCCTAACCTTAAACCCTAAACCCTCAACCTAAACCCTGCACCCTCACCTGAACCCTAGGCCCTAAACCCTAGAGCCCAGTTTCAGGGCTTCGGGGATGGTGAAGTCCCCACCTTGGGGTCCTCCATAAACCCCATACCAGAATCATGCCATAATCCCTGTGAAGGTGGATGAAGTAGGGTCTTGGTGTTTAGGGTTCTACTGCTGTTCTTGGTGAGTGTATATGGTTCCTTGTAAATGTAGGGTTTAGGGCTGAGGGTCAACATGGGCCGAACACCTTTTTTCAAGGTTCACTTTGTCCCCAAGGTGGGGCTTGGAGTTTCGGGCTCTGCGCCCGAGGTCCCTAAGCTTAGGGGCTTGCAGTTTTTGGAAACCCTAAACCCTAAACCACAGGTCCCTGGCACTTCGTCGCCACAGAGTTCCGCGACACCTACACCTGGTGGCTCTTCTTCAAGATGACGAAGGCCTGAGGGCGGAAAGGGGTCGACGAACTGATTTCGTACAGCAGGGGTGGCGATGGCATAGCGCCGCTACCACACGCCTGCTTTTACCACTCAATCCGGGAGTACGAAAAGCGGCCAACGATCCATTCGCTTCGTGTGTGAGTGAGTAGCATGTCAGGGCGATAGGGTTTTTTAGGGCTTGCAGGTAAGCCCAGAAAGACCCAGAAAACCCCAAGCCCTAAACCCTAGACCCGAACCTTCTCCGAGAAAACTTAGTAACCCCGCTGTGCTGTGGCTAGTCGGGTGCAAAAAAAAAACCCTCAACCTCCTGCGCAAAAAATGGAGGATCTGCTGATCAATATCCTGGCGGCCGTGTTCACTAACCTTGGATCCATCCAGCTGTGCCTGGGCACAGGGTTTAGGGTTTAGGGTTCAGGGTAAGCCCCAAGCCTTCAACAACAGCACTTCCCCAAACCCTAACAGCCCTCAAAGCCCTCAAAGCCCCCAAAAACCCAAGCCCTAAACCTCAAGCATCCTAAAACCCTCAACACCCTTGACAAAAAAAAAGCCTGAACACCCCCCAAAGCCCAAAGCCCAAAGCCCAAAGCCCAAAGCCCAAAGCCCAAAGCCCAAAGCCCAAAGCCCAAAGCCCAAAGCCCAAAGCCCTCAACATCCCTTTAACAGCCCTAAACCCTCAGAACCCTCAGTACCAAGCGACAGATCAAGGCTGGGACCCTACCCTGGGGCTCCAAGGATTTCAAGGTTTTTGGGCCAGAAGCCATAAAAAAAGCTTTTGGGGTCTTTTGAGCCTAAGGGTTCGGGTTCAAGGGCAGAAGGGGGTTTTAGGGCTTTAGGGGTTTTTAGGGGTTTTTGGGGGGTTTTGGGGGTTTTGGGTTTGCCCTTAAAAAGGGCGGTCCTGAGTTGGCCCGAAGAGCCTCCTTAGGTTGAGCACTGCCGTGTTGTCGACAATCTACGGCTACCTGTGCGCTCAGCATCATCCCTATCGGGAGATGTGGTTGAGGGTTTTGGGTGGGTATAGGGTTTTGGGTGTTTATGGTTTACGGGCTTCGAATCAATCAGCTGTAGATCTTCTACCATCCTTTCTGTGGGCTACATGAACCTTCGCAGGGTTTATGGCCCATCTACTTTCATAGGGATTATAGTAGTTTAGGGTTTAGGGTTTGGGTATACGATCCAAATTTTGGGGTTCGCTTAGCCCCTAAGGTGTGGAGATCGACCCTCTCCCCTAAAGGCCTAACCCTCAAAGCCCTCTCGGACTCTGGGGGGGCGGCTTTAGGGAGGTAGGGTTTAGGGTTGGGGGTTCAGGGAAAGGGTTTAGGGGTTCTACATCAGGACCTGAGCTCCACCTCCCCCACCCCCACCCCGATACCTAAACCCTAAACCCCCTGTCCCCAAACCCTCAACCCCAAGCCCTAAACCCTGAACCCTAAATCCTAAACCCTAAACCCAACCCTACTGCGCTTGGAGCACGGTTCGGGGTTTACAGGACACCATGAACAATGTGCTGGAAGTCTGGTGCGCTCTGCCCTTTGGTGCATGTTGGCCTTTTGGTCGTCGGCTTGAAGGTTTTCGGGCATAGAGTTCAGGGTTTTAGGGTTTATGATTTTCACAGCAGGCCAGATGCAAAAAAGGTTTATGTTTTAGATTTTAGGGGGCTTATAGGGTTTAGGGCTTAGAGTTCAGGGTTTGAGGGTTAGGGTTTAGGATTCGGCACCAGCTATGGGTGGTTTGTTAAGGGGTTCTAGTTTCTGTTGAAGGTTGAATCCTTAGACTCTAGACCCTCCCCGCGAAAACCCGAAACCCTTTAAACAGCCGATAAGCCCCCGACCCTAAACAGTAATTCAGCAGCAAGGGGATTGTTTTTGGCACTTGGGCAGGGAAGCGTCAGTGGGTCGCGGCGGAGGTGCTGGTTCTAGAAAACAGGGAAAGCAGCAGTCCAGCAGGTTTTTAGACAAGGCCTAAACCTTAACACCCTCTTTTTTTTGGTGTGAGGGGGGGGGGGGGGGGGGGTCGTGTGGGCGGGGGGGGGTGGTGGTGGGGGGGGGGGTGGGTGGGGGGCTGGGGGGGGGGTTTAGTTAGGGATTTCCGGATATCGGGGGTACGTACCCGTATTTTGGGGACATGTCCGGTCTAGAGTTTTGGGGTGTAGCTACTTGTCCCTAAACCCCAAACCTTAAACCGTAAGCCGTAAGCCCTAAGCCCTAGACCCTAGACCCTAAACTAAACCCTCATCAGCTTGAAGGTCAGTGGCGGCCATTTGCTTCTTCGCATCCGGCATGGGCTTCGCCTACGACGCAGAGGCCGAAAGGGCCTCCTCTAAAACAAGACAAAAGGATTTGGCCTATTTAGGGTTTAGGGCGTTTAGGGCTTGCAGGGCAAATAAGGTGTAATTCTAGGGTTTAGGAGGTTTAGGGTGACAGGTCTTGGAGACCCTGAACCTCCAAGTATTGTTCAGCAATGGAGGATTACGAGAACCCCTCTGACACCGGACCCTTTAAGAACCCTAAACCCCAAACCGGTTAAACCCGAAGCTATCTCCTTAGGGAGCATGGTGTTCGGGCTTCGGGGAACAAGGGCTTAAGGGCTTTAGGGCTTTAGGATGAATTTTAGGGCGCCTGAGGCTTGGTATAGTATAGCACTTGGATCTTTCTTCGCACCGGTCAGCCCACGTGCAGAACCCTCAACTCACCTTCGGGAATGACCTGAGCACCAACAAAAAACCCTAAACCCTAAAGCCCGAAACCCTAAACCGAGAACGCCAGGCCACGAACTGTTGTGTTTTCTTATTTGTTATGTTGGATGCAGTGTGGTGATGTTGAGTAACTCGGGAGGACCTTTTTGCAGAACATGAATAGGACCACGTAAACCACGACTTTCCGTGCGGAGTGATCCCAGAGGGGGTCTGCTAGGCGGGTGGCAAAAAGACCGAGACCCAAAACCCGAAGCTCTTTATCATCCCCGGCGGGATCCGAACCGTTGTTCTGCCAAGGATGATTATGCCGAAACGGCCCTGGAGTCGGCTGGGCTTGGGGAAGGTGCGGGTGAGTCCCACTTCGGGTTTTTGGGGCTTGGGGTTGACTTGGAGGTTCATGGGTACTTATAACCCCAATTATATGTCTACTTATAACCTACTTAGGGGGCTGAGTGAGGCGGCTGATAAGTGCAGTTCTAATTGGGGTTATAAGTACCTGAACCTCCAAGTAGGGTTTGGTGCTTCAGGGGCTTGTGGGTTTAGGGCTGTGGGTTTGGCTTAAGCTCTGCACCCTACACCCCAACCCCCGAGGTTGGACTCTGGGGGGTTTGTCCTTTTGGCCCGAAGTCCAACCCCTCTCCATCACCCCCCTCGCCCTCTAAACCCTCAACCCTAAACGGCCCTAAACCCTAAACCAACCCCACCCAAGATGGTCCCGGTACCGATCCTCCCCGGCCAAGGGGGAGCCCACTAAACCCAACATTCAATAGTCTGCTTAGAGGGGTGCTGAGGTATATTAGGGAACATTGGGTTTAGGGTTTAGATTTAGGGTTTAGGGTTTCGCCCCGAACCCGAAATCACAACACCAACCACCCTGGATTTTCCTATGGCCGAAAGCCCCTAAACTTTTTTTGCAGTTTTTTTTTGTTGAGGGGGTCAGGGTTTTTAATTTAGGGCTTAGATGTGTTTTTGGTGTTGGTTCCAACCGGTGCATGCAACCCAATGTTCCCTAATATGCCCTACTGTTGATGATACATATCCTGTACGACTCTACCATACTAATTTAGGGTTTGGGGTTTAGAGTACTTAGGGTCATGCAGGATGTATATTATCAACAGTAGTACCCCCTGAGGCTCCCTAAGCTTCCCAAGTTGCTGGGGTTTTGCGGGTCGTCCACCTCGATGCTCCGAATCCAATCCTCAGAGGCCCTGTGAACCCTTGCAAGGCATGAGCCCCAAAATTCCGAAACCCCAAACATTAAACCTTAACCCTACACCCTAAACCCTAAGCTCTGAACCCTGAACCCTGAACCCTTTTCAGGGCCTTGGCCCAGAGATCTCTGCCTCCCCCTGTCAGATGGCACCTTGCGCGCCCAGATTCTGCTTCTTGGCCGGCCTTGCAACCTAAGGCCCCTTAAACCGTGTAGGGTTTAGGGTAAGTTCAGGGTTTAGGGTTTCGGGTTTGGGGTTTGGGGTTTTCGGTTGGGGCTCAAAGCTTAGGGTAGCCCTAAGCCCTTAAACCCTGTGGGCTTTACAATCCGCAGGCCCTATGAAACCCGAATCCAAAGTCGACTTCGCTCCCAACCCCTATACAAACCACAAGCTCTGGGTCCTCGAGCTGTGGTTTAATTAGGGTTTACTTGGAGGTTCATGGGCACTCATAACCCCAAATATAAGTGTACTTCTAACCTACTTAGGGGACGGCTTATAAGTACAGTTATAATTGGGGTTATAAGTACGCTGCACTCCAAGTAGGCTTTAGGGTTTAGGTGACTTAGCTCCCACCCAGAGGCCCCAGGACGACTTAAGTTAGTAAGGAATATACCCTCTGGTCTTCGGCGGCTTTTGAGATGCTTGCAGCCATGTCGATGCCAGCCATTTCTTGGAACCCAGGTGATTGATGCAGCAGTAGGCTTGTCGGGCCAGAATGAATGAATCTTTCCGCCCTTCGTGGAAGCACACCGGCCAACAGTCTTTCAGCAAGTGACAGTTCCGGAAGTTGATTCCGTGCACAGCTGTCTCGCAAGTGGACCAGTCGACCCATCTCAGCAGATCAGCCAGCAAGTTCTTGGGTTTGGGGCGCTCCAGAACATCCTAAACTATGTCGGGACTCATTTCGACTTAAGGCATAACTCCTTAGTTAAGGGGTTTGGGGTTCTGGGGCAAACCCCACAGCCGATTGTCCCGATCCACCAGGGTTTAGGGTTTGGGGTTTGGGGTTTGGGGTTTCAGGGTTCACGATTGAGGCCGAAACCAACAAACAAAGCCTAACCCCCAAAGCCGTAAACCCTAAACTCTAAACTTAACCCCAAACCTTGAGCCCCGGTACTGGATCGCGACACTTAGGAGACGCCGGAAGCCCCGAAAAGGTACCACATGGGGCATCAGCTCTTCGGAGGCTTTTGCGGGGGCTTAGGCTTTGGGGTTTGTGGATGTTGAGGGGTATTAGGGTCCAATTGGTCTAGGGGGTTTAGGGCTTCGGGAGTTACGAAGCGAGCGAAGAAACGGCTGGTGAACTTTGATGTTCTAGTAGGTTCGACCTCGCTTGATGGGAAGTAAACCAGAGATGCTCATGAGAGCACTGCGGAGCGAAATGCAAGGAGAGGAGCTATGATGTGGGCCCCTGGGATATTTGTTCACTCTCCCTTGTTATGGCTTTAAGAGCACCGCATTTAGGAACCCAGACCCTAAACCCTAAACTCTACCCTAAACCCTCAACCGTGGCTCGATGGAGTGCTTCCGCTCACTAGATGGACCGCTTGCTCCATCCATCTGTGTGTGTGTGTGCACTGGCTGTGGGATTAACCCTAAACTTTCAGGAACGTACGATAGTAGAGGTCCTCAAACAGGACCCAGATTTTGGATCAAGCCCTCAGCCCCTAAACACTAAACCGTTTGGGTCTGTCGGGCCTCAGACTTGTTTTGTTAGTTTAGTGGTGTTTGTGTTTTTTTTGAAAGGGTGTGTTTTTTAGTTTCCGCTTCTTGTACCATGAACCCTAAACCTAAACCCCCACGCCCCAATTCCTGAGATGCCGAGGCTTTCATTCCAGCTGATCTCCTTCGTGGGCGGTTTCGGCATTACGCTGCTGGCATGAGTTTTGGGGAAGGGGGTGCTTTAGACCCTAGACCCTAGACCCGAAACCCGAAACCATCAGCCTAAACCCTAAACCGGGGTTCGGGGAAGGGGCAGGACAAACTTAAGGTTTAGGCTTCGCGCTGGGGTTTGTGTTTAGGGTTTAGGGTTTAGGGTAGCCCCTATTGACCAGAAGCTGCTCCTCATGAATCCTGAGCAGCAGCGGAACCATCAGGGCTCAACCACACTCCAGGTAAACGAGTGCATCCAGACATGTAGTCTGTCCTGGTCACTCCCCGAACTATCCTGGTTCCACCCCTAAACCCCAGGCCACGCAAAATAGACGCACCTTGTATAACATCAGCCCCAAACCCAACACCTTAAAACCTAAACCCCAAACCAAGACAACACCTCAAACCCAAAGCCCAAACCCCGAAACCCCTAGACCTTACGCCGTAAACCCTACTGTAAGTGGACTAGTCCGCAGCCGGCTATCCGGCGGAGGTTTCTGCAACTGGTCGCGGAGTTGCCAGGTGCGGGGCTCCAGGGATTGCTGGAACTTATAGGGCTTGGGGGTTTAGTGGTTCCGGTTACGTAAGGTTTTGGGTTTGGGGTTTAGGGACGTAGGGTTGAGTGTTTAGGGGGCTTCGATAGTCGCCTCAGGATTTCTGATTATATAACACCCAAGGGAATTTTCAACACATTATTTTATGTCAAGGTTCTAAGGGGAGTATAGGTTTAGGGTATTCCGTAGGGTTGGGGTTGGGGTTTAGGGTTTCAGGGTTTGGGGTCTAGGGTTTGGGTTTTTGGGGACGTAGGGTTGGGGTTGGGGTTTGGGGTTCAGGGTTTATACAGGGTTTAGGGTTTGGGGGGTTTAGGGTCTAGGGACGCAGGCTTAGGGTAGGGGTTTAGGGCTTCAGGCTTTAGGGTCTAGGGTTTGGGGTTCAGGATTTTCGAGTTGTGGTTTGGGGTTCAAAAGGGCTTAGGGAATGTAGGGTTTAGGGACTTTAAGGGTTAGGAACTTTAGGGTTCAGGGGCTTTGGGATATAGGGCTTAGAGAAGTGCGGGTATGTTTTCCCCTTCTGAGGGCTGGGCTCCCAGATCCACTATGCAAATGTGCTGGGGGTTTAGGGCCAGGGTTGAGAGTTTAGGGCTTCGGGGTTTCTAGCATGCTCTTCAGTTGCCCCGTGGAGCATGGCTAGACGGGTGGCAAAAAAAAAACCATATTTGCAAGGTGTGCAGTTCGAGCCCCTTCACCTCTGCTTGTGCCCTAAACTCTAAACCCTTAACCCCAAACCCTAAACCCTAAACCCAGGTGCGCAGCGATGGCTTCCGAAGAGCGTCAGGCCCTTCTGCTGCTGTTTAGGGCTTGTAGGGTTTAGGGAGCAGTAGGCGGCTGAACGCCCAAACCCTAAACCCTAAACCGAAACCCTAAACCCTAACCTCTAAACCACAACCCCCTAACCCCTGGGCCATGAATCCACCAAGCCCGAAACGCCCAAAAACGCCCGTGTACCTCAACAACCAAGGGGTTTGGGGTTTAGGGTTTCGGTGAAAGTGGGGTGCGCGTGTGCGAGTGGCACTTGACTTCTTGGATGCAAAGAGTTCGTCCCAGGCAGGCAGTGCAGCAGTCCTAGCCGTAAAAAAAAAAAGGTTTCGGTGACCCACAGTCTGTTTTTTTGGTTGAAGTGTGGAGCCCCGCAGCCCGATTGAGGATTTAGGGTTCAGGGCTTAGGGTTTTAGAGTTTAGGGTTTAGGGTTTGGGGTTTGGGGTTTGGGGTTTAGGTCATTAGGGCTTCGGGGTTTAAGGTTTATGAGTGCGCGTTTAGGGTTCGGGTTCGGGGTTTAAGGTGTCGGCTCCAGGGTTTCGAGGTTCCGGTTTCGGGAGCCCTAAACCCTAAACCCCCTAAACCCTAAAGCCTTACTTAGCCACTCGTTGAACTTTCAACCTTTTGGGTTTCCTTATTTTGTAGGAATAGTGTTGTTGTTTTATTCCTCGGTTATTGGAGAAGCAAGAACCCTAAACCCTAAACCTTAGACCCTAAACCCTAGACCCTAGCTGGCCTGTGGAGGCGGCGGGAGCCAGAAGACATAGATGCTGCGAAGGAGCAGCTCCAAGTAGCTTTCAAGGTGCGCGGCACTCCGGTTAAGGGTTTAGGGTTTAGGGTTTAGGGTTTAGGGTTTAGGGTTTAGAGGGTTTAGGGTTTAGGCGGTTTAGGGTTTAGGCCCCTAAACCCTCAACTTTAAACCCTAAATCCTAAATCCCAAGAAATGAACCTCCCTACAGGGGCCTCCTTGGTGTGCTTTTGTAGGTTTGGAGCTCCTCACACCCTACACCCTATAAGCCCTAAACACTCTAAGCCCTAATCCCCAAACCCCAACTCAACCGGGGCGGCCCAAAGTACCGGCCATATTCATGGATTTAGGGCACAAAAGCCCTTAGGATTCTGGGTTTTGGGGGCCTAAAGCCATAAATGTAAGGTACTTTGGACGACCCCCTGAATTGGGTAGCTGCGAGACTTCAACGCGGATGGGATGAAGCGGGTGAAGCCAGAGCAAGGGAGCTGAGGTGAGTTCCCAGCTCTTCCAAAAGCCGTTAAATAAAGAATCTTCAGGGTTTTGGGTTTTGGGTATAGGGTTTAAGGTTTAAGGTTTAGGGTACTGTGAACTGTGGAAGTCTACACATACTGGATTTCAGTTGGTTTGCCAGGGCCAGGTTGACCCTAGCGTTCCTTCGCAAAACTGAGTTTTACCCATGCTTCGGTGCTGTCCAACAAGGCATTCCACCCACAGCGTTCACTGGGGAATGCTGATTTGGTAGTGCTTTATTCGCCTTCACTTGAACCGGTGCGTTCATTGGGGTTTAGATTTTTTTGGAAGGGGTGGTTTCGACTTCCATTGTCGCCAGTATGTACCTTACATTGGATTAAGGATCCTTTCTATTGTATACGGGGGATTCCTCAACTAAGGGGTTTTAGAAGATCTGGGCTCCTTTGTACTTGGGTACCCGTGCAGCCTGGCCAAAACTCTTCTTCAGGGTACTTGGAAGTATTTTTAACGTTTTTGGGTACTAGAATTCCTCAGAGCCAGCTAGAATGTTAATTGTTGCTGGGGTTTCGGGTTTAGGGTTTCAAGTGCAAGTTTATTGCCTCGCTTTTGGTCACATAGCAGCCATCGCAGCAAAAGCCTACAAAACCTCAGACAAGTATGGAACAGTCGTCTCGCAATCTACCTGACTGCGTATCTTCCAAGCGACCTTCACATCCTTCACGCGCTAGTACCCAGATCTTCCAAAACCCCTTAATTTGGTCATATCCTTGAAATCATAGTAAGGATCCTTAATACAGTTTAAGGTATATTCCTTATTTACGGGGTTTCGGAAGTTCTGGGTACCCAAGGGGAAGATTGCATACGTCGGGCCCGTCCTGGCCCGCAGTGACAAGCAACGCAAAACCCTATACCCGAAATGGGGGTGGTTCTTACGCATGTTCTTGTCTGTGGTTTAGGGTTTGGGGTTCAGGGCTTAGGGTCTAGGGTTTTATGTTGCGGGGTACCCTGCAATATAGGATGCTAGAAATTGGACCCCAACAAGCGCCATATTTCCTTAAAGACTACACCTTTAATCCTAAATCTTAAAAACTCAGCATCAAACTCCTACACCGCATGCACCTGACGGAGGTCGACAGGGTTGCGTGTTCGTGGCTGTTAAACACGTTTAGGGTTTAGGGTTTCCAAAAGCCTGAACATCAACCTTAAACCCTAAACCGTACATTCCCAGTTTCGAGAGTCTGAGGCAGAGTTCGAGTGATCTAGACCCGTTCCTTTGACTTGTCTTTTTTCGTCTTCGAGGTGCCGCGTATGTTAAGAAGGGGAGACCATCAAAAGGGTGTGTCTTGGAGGTCAATAAGGATCAGTTGAGTGAGTCATAACGCGAAGTTCCAGAAAGGTGTGCAGAAGAAGCGCAGGCAGCAGACTTTTCGAAGTACGATGCCGTGGCAGTGATTCGGAACTTCGCTCTTCTCCAGGACCTGCTGCGGACTGCACGTAGTCAACCTGGTGGTTCTTCGTGTCCAGGGTTTAGGGTTTGGGGTTGAGGTGTTCAGGGTTTAGGGCACAATTAGGGTTTCTTGTAGCCACGAACCCTAAACTCCAAACCAAACCCGGACCCCTTAACCCTAGCCCTAAACCCTAAAATTAGACCCTCCAGCTCCTGAGTGCATCCGAGCTTGACAGCTATGGTCGCACAGTGGTGCTGCAGACCCTCAGTCCGACCCCGGTCCATCCCAAGAATCTTTCGGATTTAGGGTTGGGTTTAGGGTTGAGGGTTAAGAAAGGGTTTTGGGGTTTTACGCCCTAAGAAAAAGCAGAATTCAGACCCGCACATCCTCGAAGGAGAGCCGTGCTCTGTTGCATGCCACGGAGTGGCACATGCAACGCACTGGGCTCCTGGACGCAAAAGACCCCCTAAGGCCCCAAAGCACCCTGGGTACCCCCAAATACTAAACCTAAACCCTCGACCCCCAAAGCTCTTTCTGGCTAAGCCCTCACACTCTAAGCCCGAAAGCCCTAAAGCCCTAAAGCCCTAAAGCGCAGGCTCGCCGAGCCGACGGTGCCTGCTTGTAAATATCTGTCGGGGCAGGGAGCAGCCACGGAGGAAGGAAAACATATCTATTCCCGAAACCCTAAACCCCAAAGGTGCTATAAAGGGATTTGGGGCTTACGTATAGCATATCGATCTTTGGGGTTGTTCTAAATAAGGGATGGACCATGGGATAAGAGTCCCTTAAAATGGGGAATCCTTACTCAAAAAGGAACCTACCTTATGGTTATGTTGGGGACTGGTACCTAGAACAACTACCATATCCATGTAAACTTTCATAGGTTTAGAAGTCCGTATGTTTCCAGATCTTTCAAAGCCCCTACTTAATTCAGGAATATTCCTTAAACCATAGTAAGGATCCTTAGTATAGTTTAAGGTATATTGCTTATTTAAGGGGGGTTGAACAATCTGGGTTTCGACTTCCACAGGTGTGCATGCAAGAGGCCCCCTGTGTTCCTGGGGAGGGCCCCGCATAAAAATTGTTAAACCCTAAACCGTAAATCCTACGACAGGAACTACAACTAGGGGTCCATGTAGACCCCCCAGATCTTCCAAAAACAAAGCCCTTTGGATGTTTTCCCTTATTGGGTTAAAGAGGACCTCATTCAAGAACATTTTTCAGAGGGTCTAAGGGGCCAACCGAGGCATGCTCCGAGAGTTGGATCGAACAGCTGTAGGGTTCCAGATGTAGGGTTTTTGGGGGTTTAGGGTTACGAGTCCACTGGCAAAAGGGTTTAGGGTGTAGGGTTGGGGCTCAGGGGCTCAGGGGTTAGGGGTTCAGGGTGCCTTGTCTTGCTGCGATCCTATCCCTGCGAAGGTCGCTGGCACGACTGATGCCAGGCCGCCATTTCATGGCGCAGCTGATCAAGAAGGACCTGCGTATCGGGGGGCTGTTGGTGGCTTCTTGTCGCCTCAAGCGCCGAGAGTTCCAGCACCCCAAACCCTAAGCCATTCACGACAACTCTAATTAAACCCTGAACCTTAAAACCCTAAGCCCTGAACCTTAAAAGAACCCAAACTTGACCCTAAACCGAAAACTCTAAATCCAAACTACTGGAGGAAAGCAACCTATCGCGTCAGTTGGACGAAGATAGCGACGATGGCGAGCTGAGTGGTCCGCAAAACCAGGCCCAGCCCAAAACCCTAAACCCTAAACCCTAAACCCTCTAGCAACCCTAAACCCTAAACCCAGAGAGTGCTTGCAGAAACCCTGAACCCCAAGCCCGGGCTAATAGGCCAGGACCCAGAGTAGGCCCTTATTCCCTTTTTTTAGGGGTTTAGGTTCCCTTATACACCCCTTAAACCAAAGCCCTCGAAAGGACTCCTGTACTGGGATCCCCAACTGTCCCCGAAAGCCTAAACCCTACACGCATTGCACTCCCGCTGTTCCCTGGATGTGTTGTTTTACGTTTGGCTCCCTTTCTAGGTATTTTGTATGTTGCTGTATTGGGTTTAAGAGGACCTTGTTTAGGAATATGTTTCAGAGGGTTAGAAGGGTCAACCTAGCTTTAAACCCATGTAGTACGAGACCCTTAATCCAACCGGGCAATCAAGCAATCTTTCTGCAGACCCCGCAAGCCCTCTACGTTTCTAGAGGGCTTTTGACCCGAAACCCTAAGCCCTAAACCCTTTGGTTTCGGGTTTAGGGTTTAGGGTTAGAACTTGGGGACGATAAGATTCGAGGACCCCGTGTTTGGGCCCTCATTCCGTTTCTTTAGGAGGGGGGACGATGACAGAAATGGGTACCCGAAGTTTTTGGAGGTTCGGAGTTTTGGGGTTTGGGCTGGGGAAGATAAGCCTAAGCCCTACAAACTAAACTAAACGCTACTCCCTAAATGCCTTCTTTAGTGACTTTAGCGTGCCCCAAGGCAACGAAGGCAGCCCTTGTGTGGGTTCCAGAGTCGCAGGGACTGATTTGGGGGCGATGGTTGCTAGCCCTACACCCCTAAACCTGAAACCGCCAAACCCTAAACCCGTATACTCTAAACCCTAAGCCCGAAACTCTAAACCCGGCTAAAGCACTTGTGCCCGGATGCCGATGTAGATAAACCCCAACCCCCCTAAACCCCAACCCCTTAAACCCTAAACCCCCAAACAATCAACCCCCAACCATTAAACTCAAACCTCTTCCAGACGTCGTCGGCTCCTTCCTTTGCGAGTTGTTGCCTCGATAAGTACCCGGGCACACGCACATCCCAAACGCCAGGGGTTTAGTGGGTTTGGGGTTTACAGGGTTTAGAGCTGAGGGTTTAGAGTTTCAGAGTTTATGGGTTTAGGGTTTGTGGATTTATGGCTTTAGGGTTTAGGGTTTAGGGCTTGGAGTTTAGGGTTTAGGGTTTATGCGTTTAGAGTTCAGGGTTTAGGGTTTATGGGTTCAGAGTTTCGGGTTTAGGCTTTATGGGTTTAGGGTTTAACTGCTTCGTGCATCAGGGCAGGTGTGGTGAGCAGCTTTGCATCTTTCGGCTTCAGCCAAAAGTGGCGGTAGACACCTGCCTAAGAAGAAACAGGAGTCACCTGCTTTAGGCCGTGGCTCTGCCGAGACAACATGTTTCACTCTTTTTTTCAGTTATTGTGTCGGAAGCAACCACCTGCGGTGCCGATTTGTGTGTCTCAGTAGGTGTGAGGCCAGCGCGTCCAGTGTGGCGGGCCGCCTGAGCTTCTCGCAAGCGCGTCTCGCCTGGGGTCTTCGGCGTAGGCGGGGGTCGGTCGGGCCGCACTCCTGATGTTTGCACCCATTCTGTTTCAGGAGTGCAGCCTGTGGCTCAGGTGCGCCTCGCCTGTTGGTGTCAGCTTGGCGCGACCCCAGCTCAAATTCTTCATTTCCGCTCTTCTCTTGCTTCCGCTCCTGCGTCTCACCGCCGCGTCCTGTGTAGCGGGCCGCTTGGGCTTGTCACAGGGGTGTCTTTCCTGCCAGGGTCTCAGGCGCTTGGGGGGAGGGGCAGTCGGGCCCGCCCCTGCCGGTGTTGGGGCTGGCCTGTGTCTGGACCGGGATATGTCCGAGCTTCATCTATCCTCTTCTCTGCTCTTGTCTTGCCTCCGCTCCTGCGTTTCGCCGGCATGTCCGGCTGTGTCGCCGGCCGCCTGGACTTCTCACAGGTGGTGTCTCTCCTGGGGTCTCGGCTTAGGCGGGGGCCGGTCGGGCCCGCACTCCTCAGGTATACACCCGTTCTGTTTCAGGAGCGGCACCTGTGGCTCAGGTTTGTGTGGTTCGCGCTGGATGTGCCTCCCCTATTGGCGTCCGCCTGGCATGACCCGTTCTCGTTTTCCCAGCAAAAACCTTCTTTCTTTTTCTCGCTCTTGCCCCGCTCCTGCATCTCACCGGCGCGTCCTGTGTCGTGGAATTTTCACAGGGGTGCGGAACACACACATGCACCTACAACCCACGTGAACAAGACGCTCAACATCACTCAGAGCTCTAGCTCTGAGGGGGACGCGCCTTTAGAGCAGCTCCGTGAGGTGCACGATCTCCTGATTCTCATCGCCGTTGCCATGCCGGTCGGGGTGAAACGCTACCAAAAGCGACCGAAGGGAAAGCTTCATGACCTTCAAGCTGGGGGCCGGATCCTGGCCAAGGATGTCAGTGGCATTGTGCGCACTTTCGTTGATCCATTTCGCGTCGTCTTTGGACTGCCGTCTTTGGCACTTGATCTCTCCGGGGTGATGGGCCAGCACCTTAGTCAGGTCCAATGGGGGGCCAGTCAAGAAATCACCCGGCGCAGAGCTTCCGCACGGACCGTCTTGGGACACAAAACCTTGGGCAGCCATGTTGTGGAGAATGAGCCATGGTACCGGATCAAAATCAGCCTCGCATTGTCCTCAAATGTTGTCGACCTCCTCCACCGGGCAGTCCTGAGGTGGCCGGACCAGGGTGATACCGCGCGTCTCGCAGGAATGGGCAGGAATGGCCGATACTCATCTTCAACCCTCTGGCATTTCCATTCCCCGCACTTTCGTTTCATTTAATGCGTTGGGAGGGACCCTGTGTCTCAGGCCTAGCTGGCCGGGGTAGGAGGCCCGAAGACCAACGCAAATGGACCGCAGCATCCATGACCTTGTACAGTGCTGCAACGACGCGAGTGAGACGAAAAGAAAACACTTCGCTGATGCAACTAAATGTTATGGGGTTTCGGAGTTCAGGTTTAGGGATGCCTCGCAGGGCGTCGCGCTCTCCGACGATGAGGCCATGCCCACGACACCCGGCAGCCATCCTACGCCTCCCAGATCTTCCAAAACCCCTTAATATTTAAGGAACATTTCATTGAAGTCTTAAGTCATAGTAAGGAGGATCCTTAATAAGCCTTAATATAGTTTAACGTATATTCCTGATTTAAGGGGTTTTAGAAGATCTGGGTCCTATGCCTAGATCCCAAACCCTGGCCCTAAACAATAAAACCGCGGCTAAATCCAAAACCCTACACCCTACACCCAGCGCTGTCCCGCCTAGGCCGGAGCAGGCTGGGAACAATGAGTCGTGCGAGTACGAGACGGTAAGATTCTAGTTCCGCTCGCCCTAAGCCCTCAACAAGCCCTGAACCCTACCATGAACTCCAGTTTAGGATGATTAGAGCTGGGTTTCCCACTATGTTTAGGGTTTAAGGTTGATGGCCCAACTTTCTCGAGTATACTGTAAACTCCCTGAAACCCCTGAACATGGCACCCGACCTCGCCGTGCCTGGGGTTAGAGGTGTAGGCTCGACGGTTTTGGGGTTTAGGGTTTAGGGGGCCTGTCACTCTAAACCTTAAACCCTGAACCCTCCCTGCTTGAGGGCTTAGGGCTCGAATTTGTTTTGAAATCCCTCCCTCGCCTTTCAAGCCTACAGCCTGAAATCTCAGGCATGCACTGAAATGGTCGCCTCAGAAAGGGGATGCTGCATTTTCCCACCGCCTCGACGAAGTTGGTTCTCTAAATTATGGTCCTATTCATAACTCCCTATGATTAGACATAGTGGTTTTCTTCAATTCCAAAGGGGGAGGCCTGGCAAGGTGGCGTCTAGGCCTTCGCATTTGAAATGCCCGCGGTCTCCTTCCCCGACAGGTGGTTTACCCAGGCGCGCGCGCGCCCAAAAAGCTGCAGTATGGGGACGTGGGGGTTGATCCAAATTCTGGGCCCATTATTTTTATCAATCGCACCCGCCCCCACAAAAGCTAGACCCTAAACCCAAAACCCTAAACTATAAACCCTACACCCCAGACGCTCAACCCTGCTTGTCCCAACAAGAGCCCAAAGCCAAAGCCCTGCCATACCGCTATCCCTGTGAAAACCTGACCCGCATCCCTGAACCCTAAACCGTGAACCCTAAACTTCCGTCACACTCCTATTTGAGCCTGTACACCCTCCCGTCTTGACCAAGCTTCTTGCCAGGGTTCGAAAGGACCCTAGACCCTAGGCCCTAAACCCTAACCCTAACCACAATCAATTGGGTTTGCGGGTTTACGGGTTTAGGGTTTGGAGGACACCCAGTAGTACCCTTGCTCCTCCTCACTGACAAACCTAGTTCAATAAGCGAAGATCCCTTTTTCTCTCCTGGGGCACTGAGGTACATAAACTCAAAACCCTAAACCTAGCCCTAAACCCTAAACCTTTACTTCTCCTTGGTTACTACGGGCCGTTACGAACCCTAAACAGAGTTTACAGGGATTCAAACCCTAAACCCGTTTCGGGTTTGGTGTTCTGATTGTTGTTGTTTTTTCATTTGCTGTTGCAAGTCTGGCGAACTTGCGAACAAAAAAAGCACTGGCAGCTCTGGTTTAGGGCTTAGGGTTTAGGGCTGCAGCTACGGACCCCGGCCTCAACACTTAGGCCGCCAGCTGCAACCCTGAGGCCAAGACACTGAACGCCTTGAACCCTAAACCCTAAACCCCTAAACCCCTAAACCTCAGAGCCCTAAACGGCAGCAGCCTCGAGCTCCCGAGGGCTTCTTTGGCTCCAGCGATCAATGCTCCCACGCTGACCTGCCACGCACCACAGTGCAATTGCAGGGTCGGCTCCCCAGAAGGAGCCCTCCAAAGGAGGGGGCCTTCGGGGTTTAAGGTGATGTCTCTCCTTGCGGGCCTCACCGTGGTAGCGCTGCTGGGCGCCGAATCCTGCACTGACCTGCTCCCGTATTACCAGGACCCATGCAGGGGTTGTTCTAACTGTCCTTGTAGTTTTAGGGTAGGGTTTAGAGTTCCTATGTTTGCAAGGTAAATATAGGGTTCTTTGGGTACCCTGAACTTCCAAGCAGGGTTTAGCGCTGTTCTTGTGGACATGCTGAGCTCCAGCGCAGACCTGGCTCCGAAGCCCCGGCTCAAATCCCCCGGCCCGCAATACGAACCCCGTCAGCCCCGCAGGGTTTAGGGTGTATAGGGTTTAGCCCCCCCCACCCCCCCGCCGCAATATATACCATAGTGGCAGTACATGAGAGGGGCCAAACCCAGAACCCCTAAACCGCTGAACCCTAAAATCAAGAAGGACCGCTATGGAAGAAACTGCTCGGACTACGTCAATGAAAATCTTTGCACCGAGTACGGAGATTTTGGGAGCGGATGGCTCTTCAATTTTGCACCTCGTCCGTTCTCAGCATGGCTCAGCCTGATCACCCAAAACCCTAACCCCTAAGCCTCCCCGCCCTGCCTCCCAAGTTTCCCCCCCAAGTAAGTATGGTTTAGGGTTTAGGGTTTAGGGTTGTAAGTACGGATCAAAATCCTGAATGAACCGTCATGAGGGCCAAACAGGAGGGGGCACTGGGGGACTCTTATGATATGATATGATAGATTTTCACAATTCCAAGCTTTACGTTCCCCCAAATTCTAGAACATGCTAACCCCGAACCCAAAGCCCTTCATCATGGGGGGGGGCGGGGGAGCTAATAATATTGGGGGAAGGTATAGGTTGAACTATACGAGAGGATGCGAGGCGACTCCTCCAGGCCCCCAATGGTGCATGTGAGGGTTTACGGGTTAGGGTTTAATTCGGGTTGGGGGTTAACCCTAAACCCGAAAACCTTAAACCTTAAACCCTGAGCTCGCCAAGGGCTTTTACGCGGAAGCGTGGCCTTCCCTGCCGGCAACATCTGTTTGCTGCGGAGCCGTGGTTTCACAATCCCAAACCTAGGATTGGCGTGAAGGGACCCTGCAAATTGTTGGTCCAGTTTTTGTAGGTTTAGGGTTTAGGGGTTACAGGTCCTTATTTTACAGTAGATTTTCTTTTTATCGGGTTGCAGACAACCTTATTAGGTTTTCTCTCTTCTGGGCCAACCTAAATGATTGCTCCCTAAGAGGCAGTTCCAGCTACAATGTCATTATTATTCTTATTGTTATTGTTATTGTTTTTATTATTATCATTCTTGTAACTTTATTATTGTTATTTAGTTTGTTAAAATAATTCTTGTTTGCCGAACAAACCTTTTTAAAGAAGAGCTCCTTAAGCAAATCCTAGTACCCTGACCCCTACACCCCTGAGCGTCAAACCTTAACCCTAGACCCTAAACCCTAAATCCTAAACCTTGAGCCTGAGCCCTTGTTGGTCAGTTTGTCTAAACTAAGGCCCTATCATGTTCGGGCTCCTGAAACATCGGGGGCAGTGTTTCAAATGGACCCTCACAGGGATCATAGTTTCAAGAACTGGCCTTCTGACCCCTGAGCCCTGAACCTTACAGTAGCCCTAAACCCTGAACCCTGAACCTGAAACAAAACTCGCCCCCTAAACCCTACACTCCCAGAGGACCCAAAGCCCGATATGTGGAATATGCCTAAAAAATCAGAATGAGGATCCTTGATAGTTTAGGGTGCTTTCCTTAATCAGGGGTTTTGGGTCCCCTACACTGGTCAGGATGTGGTGCCGGCCAATGCAGGGACAAGACATGGTTGGACTCGCGAGGATACAGCTGCGATTACTACATCAGTGAGGGCAGATGCGCCAACGGCACGGTCATCGGAGACTTGCCCAAAGATCGGGGGTTTAGGGTTTAGGGTTCAAGGTTCAGGGTTTGCTATTGTGGTTGAAAGGTTTCGGGTGTCGGATGCCCGCAGACAAAACACCCCCTGAACCCCCGAACACTTTATTTCAGAAACTCTTAAACCCTCCAAGACCCCCAAGTAACCTTCAAGGTCCCCTAAAGTGCGACCTCAGCAGCGTACCCTTTAGGCCCTGATTAAGGGTTTCTTGAGGGTTTAGGGTCTAGGGTTACTTTAGAGCACTAAACCATACTAAAACACCCTTATCCCAGGCGACGTTGCAGCGCATGCCGTGGCGAACATCTCTGCAGCCGATGCCTGCTGCGTTTGTGGAGGAGGTTCGTGGTTTGCGTGCTCAATGCCTTAGCAGTAAACCCTGAACTCTAGACCCGAAATCCTAAATCCTAAATCCTGAATCCTACGTCCTGACCCTAAAGCCTGAACCCCTAGACCTGAAGCCCTCTACTTACACCCAAAGATCATGAACCGTGAGTGCAAAACCCTAAGAGCCGAAATTAAAATCCCCGACGCCCAAGAAGCGGGCCTAGGGTTTAGGGTTTAGGGTCTAGGGTCTAGGGTTTGGGGTTTAGGGCTCCCCCGGGGGCAGGGAGCCTCTAAATTCCTACCTGGGTCGCATAGTTTAAGGTTTAGGGTTCGGTTTAGGATTGAAGGTTTAGGGTTTAGGGTTTCCCGCAGCGCCCAAGACAAATGGGTATCACAGAGGCGAATATATGAAAACCAAAGTCGGTCTGTATACACATGCTTAGGCGGCCCAGGCTTGCTTTGCTCGAGGATTTGCCTTGCTTTCATGGTTGGAGCTGGCCTTTCTCCTCTTTCAGCCTCATAAGCAATGGTAGGCGTCTGTTTGCGCAGCCCTCAGAGGTAGGCGTGGTAGCAGTGAACGATGGCGATGTACCCGACGAACCTTGAGGTTTAGGGTTTAGGGTTTGTTCGGGGCCATGAAAAGCTGCCACAAGCGCTACTGGGCCGGAATGGTTGTGCTTACAGGATAGACCCTTGTTTTGTGTCCTCCGCCCCCCCTATATTGAGTCCAGAAACTTGAAGGTGGATATGTCATACTAGCGGGGTGGGGCTTACGGGCGGCGGATTACTATGGAGGTCTGGGTACACCCTTCGCCCCTTTAGCATTTAGGTTTAGAGCCCTAAGCCCCAAACCCTAGCCCTAAGCCCTAAACGGCAGGCTGCGAGAGTTCGCCATCTTGGCGCGATGCCCGTGGAAACAACTGCCGCGCCTACTACGAGTCCCAGTGGTGTATCTTGGCCTGACTATACCCCAAGCCCGAAACCTGAAACCCGATATCGGACAGCCGTAAAGCTCTTCAGGCCTCGAGCCCTCAACCCTCAAACCCGCAAGGTTCAGGTTTAGGCACTCCAGGCCCTAAACCCTAAGCCCCAACCCCTAAACACTGCTATTACAAACGGAATGAGATCTGGATATCTCACATAATTTGAGAAGGTTGTCAAGGATATGGCAGCCCGATGGAAGAGGACAGGATCTGCTGAAACATGTAGCCAAAATGTATGGGATCAGGCCGCACGCATG